CCCGCATGTCAGGGCTGCACAAGCTGTAATTATGATTAATGTGCTGTGAAATATTGACACTCTTGTAAGTATTGCTGTAGTGCTTCTAGACTAGTGTGCTGGGTGTGTGTATAATCAGGCATAATGTATAATTAGGCGTATTCATTAAAGCAGAACCTATCATTACCTAATCACACTGTTTCTCTTCTTAGATGGCTGCCCGGGTCTGTGTTATGGCAATGGGAGATGCACACTTGACCAGAATGGTTGGCACTGTGTATGTCAAGTTGGCTGGAGTGGAGTAGGGTGTAATGTTATCATGGAAATGGCTTGTGCTGATAACTTGGACAATGACTCAGGTACGTGCTTGCTTTTATATAATATATGTTCCTGCTAGTATATTTCAAATAAAGCAAAATACCCACATTTGTCACCGTACTGCTCTACAAAGATGGTGCCGGTGTAGTCGGCTGCCGTCACGACTGCTCTGCAGTCGTGTAAGCATTTCACTGCATATCATACTTGTACGATTGTTTATGTGACAAATAAAATCTATCTATCTATCTATCTATCTATCTATCTATCTATCTATCTATCTATCTATCTATCTATCTATCTATATAAACAGTTTATAGCCATCATATGGCTGTTTCTGCTGTGACCTACATGGTGTGATTGGGGTATATGGCTATATCTGTGTAAACTCAGGTCACCCAAGTGAAGTCTGGCAGTCTGATTGTTTTGGCTCTCTTTATAAAAGGCTTCTACAAATATTTTTTTTTTCAAACTGTACCATTAATTTGGAGAAAATTATTATGTTTTTCTAAATGGAAAGTCAATATTTTTTTTAGTTTTATTTGTCCTATGTGTTCCATTGAGGAAACTCTCCTTTACTACCTGCCTGTTGATGTAACAGATAGTCAGAGACAAAGTTAGAGGAACTTCCAACTTAAACAATTTTCAATGTCCCCTTTACAGGAGCTACCCACATGTTTCTATCTGACAACTCTAAAATTTTGAAATTTCTCATCACTTTTGTTCTTGGTGACACTGGTCACCGGGACAAATAGAGAGGCTGGCCTCTGTGTCACTACTGCATCCTGTAGTGGGTGAAGGTCAGAATGAGGGACCAGTGAGAGCTGCGGGGACCCAGGGGATCGACAATTCAGGAAGTGTCAGTTTCCCTCCGAACTCTAGTAGACGTTTTCTCAGCATCAGAGCAGTGTTAGGTAGTGGGGCACCAGGAAAGGTAAGCATGCACTCTTCTTTCACAGATAGCCTAGGTTTATTGCAAATTGACATCATCATATCTCACTCCAAAAAGACTAGCAGTCAGCGGCACTGTGCCTTAGGTGATGTCGCACTGAACATATCAGCTATGAGACTGAAGGCATAGGAGTGCATAGGTACAGGAAGTGCACTGCTATATTTCAGGAGGAATTCAAGGCAACTGGTTAATCTTTTAAGGTATTGGCTAGACACAATTAACATTACTAGATATTCCTTATAAGATTGCAAATCTTCACTTTTTAAGTTCAGGTAAAGTTAAGATAAATAAACCTGGGTACTAGACAATTCTTATTTCCTACCATCAATAGTGTATAAATAATCGGCTATATTAACCAAGTATTTTACAACAGGGATCCTATTTTCTTTGAATTTCAGTGCCATTTATTATTAACAACATTCAGTAAAGTATATGGAGTATAAGAAACCTGGAGGACATATAAAAGCTTCAAAGCACATCTGTTCTGTTGGCTTCCAGTTGTAGAATCCTGATGAAATAATCAATCCCCTTTTTTTTTTTTTTTTACTCATCCATATGCTTATTTGTTAACAAGGGGCTAATGGTGAGTTAGGGAAACAGTTTCCAGAGAGATGTTTTCATCCACTTTCACAATGTTCTCATGTGACAAACATTCCTTATTTGTCCGAAGATTAAAGTGTCTTGGAAAAAACAGGAGAAAGAAATGTACAGTGATGATTTCATACACTTTTTCTAAACAATACTGGAGTCTCTATTATAAAAAAAAGGCTGCCAAAATTCTGTTTACCTCCACCCTGTCTTCTAATTGGACAGGGAGCAAGCAGGAACAATTTCACCCTGTGCCCCCCCATCCTTTTATAAGTTCCTTTCAAGCAGCTGACATATTATTTATTGCAATAGAGCCCAACTGGATCACAGTACTGCCCCTTTCTCAATAAGTCTAATCTACAAGAGACTATTGAAAGTTAATATAAAGACAGGTTTCAGCTACTTGAAACAGCAGTATGAAAAAAATCATTATTTTAACTTAATATATAACCATTATTGTGTGTTATAATAATTTGCTGTGCGTTCACGAAAAAAGACTCATGTTCTGTTAGTGTGTTTGCTGATCTGGAAATTACTTACAAAAGAGGAGACTTCTCATTGTTACAGTACAGAGGGTTCTGCACAATGGCTCCACATTTGCCTAAAAGCATTTTATAGGTGACAAAATTGAGTTTCTAATTATGTTAAACTGCTTTTTCATATTTTTTTTTCATTCATAAATTAAACATTTTAACAAGGCATCATTATTCTCCTTCCGATTGCGTCTGATCTTTCATGTGAATCAGTAAGATTAGGTTCTTTGTCATCTTTTTCATTTAATGGTCCAACAAACAATTTAGTAAGTATAAGCAGCTTTCAGCACTCCCACAAACTCTTATAGGTTTCAGAAATATTCTTAACTAAAGGCACATAATCCTTCTACAGGATTAGAAACAAAAGATGAAACATGAAAAAGGTAAAAAAGCATTTATAGTGTATGTATATAAGCGCTGCTTGCCTGAGGACAAATATTTAGAAATATTAACATACTATAAAACAATGTTTCAGAAGTACTGTGGACTCATCGTGGTGGGAAACAGGGATGGGCTGGATGTTCGAGTCGAACGTGAGTTCGAGTCGAACATCGCTAGTTCATGTGTTCGCTGAACACACAAACTATAAGGGCGTTTGGCGTTCTGTTCAACCGCTGAACATCCCACAAGGCAATGCGCCCTCTGAAGCTCTAATTGGTTAAAGTCTTGCACCTGACCTCAGGTCAGATGCAAGACTTTGCCCAATTAGGGTCAGTACTCTGTAAGAGCCATGATTGGGCAAAGTCATGATCACTTTGCCCAATCATGGCTCACCTGTCAGATGATATAAAACTGTACACAGTTGGGCGAAGCAAGCTGTCACCGCTAGCTCCGCCCAATTGTTTACCTTTTGCCGGCATCGGTCAAAGTTATGCGAGTGGACGGGACATCGTCTTTTTTTAAAATTATTTCTATTTATTTTTTATTGTTTGGATCAATTTTTGGGGGTATTTTTTTTAACAATAAGGGACTTGTCAAAATCCTTTGTTGTGTTTTTTTCAATGAAAGGATTTTTTTCCAAAAGTCTGGTTTTTTTATTTTAATTTTTTTTAACCCTTTCGTGAATGAGTAGGGGTACAAGTACCCCTTACTCATTCACAAGGGGGGGGGGCGCATCTGGGAAATGTCAGTTTTGCTGCAGCAGTTTCTATACATGATACAGATGTGCCACTTTACAGGCAGGTTAAGGGGACCCCCCCATGCGCGATATTTAACCTCTTGCCGTCCGCCCGTTAAGAAAAAACGGATGGACGGCAGACTTGCATCCGCGGGTTGCCGTCGCCAGACTGCATTTTATTCCTGCTCGCGCGCGCCCGGGCAGGAAAGACCCGTTTGAATACTGAAAAATGGCCTGGATGGGAAGGGGGTTTAACACCCCAGATGTCAACTGGTTAAAGGAATGTTTCATTTTTTATTGTTACTCTTTAAGTGATGTTAAAATCACTGCTCCTTTAAAAACAGTATTTTTTTCATTGATTCCTGTCACCCAGGGCAGTACCCAGATCCCCATACACTTTTTATGGCCAATAACTTAAAGGGGACAATTGTTTTTGAAAGTTCTGCCTCCATAGACTTGCATTGAGTTTGAGTTCGAATTCAAACTTTTTGGATATTCTAAAGTTCGAATTCGAACCGAACTCGGGCCTGTTCGGCTCATCACTAGTGGGAACCACTGCTTTAAGAGATCCTTCATCAATGTAGAGTAAAGATCCCATAGATAAATGAATGCTGCACTGAGTGAACTGGTAGTAAGACATCTGGCCATCCTCAAGGACCCCTTGAAGGTTTGTTAGCCAAAAAGTGGAAGTAAAGTATGTGTGGTTAGCCAACATGCCATTTTTTCTCTGGAGAATTCAAGGTTTTGAGGTAGGTGTGCAGATAATTTCCACAAATGTCTGTGTCTGATAAGCATTCCCATCAGCTGGAAGGTTAAATATAGTCCCTTGGGGAAACCCTACATTGCTCAGTCATTATGTGATGATTGCAGGTAATGATCAAACTGGGTTGGGCTTGGACAATTAATGGACCTTAATGCCATCCAGTGGATCCCATTCAGCATTCGGGCTGGTACATTTTAAGATTGGGTGTAGTGAACAGTTTTACTAAGCCTAATATAAAGAGGGGATATGAAGGAAAGAGAAGCATTGCTTAATTCTGTAAAGCACACAATGTGCACATATACTGTAGCTGGTAAATATTATATTTGAGAGAAAACTATGGGGTAAGTGTGTTTTTCTTGTCACGGGAGGACATATTATAACCTCCTCCCGTGAACCAAAGCTCAGTATATCGCAGGCTAGTGCCCGCAATATACTGAGCGCTGCAGCTGGGACGGATCCCGGCAATACTGTCGAGATCCACCCAGCTGCATGAGTGACAGCTGGCTCTGCTCTGTGGATCAGCTGCATGTTTCTGCTCACTTCTCGATCAATAGAGCCGACCTGTGACAGCTTCTTTGTCACAGGTTGGCTCTAACTATGAGGATGAGTGGAAATTACTCACCTTGTAGTTCTCCTTCAAGATAAAACTCTGGATTAAAAAAATTACCCTTGCATTTTGCCTCCCCTTTCCATGCTGCAAGGGTTAAATGCTAACTTTTGCCTAGGGGACAATAAAAAATATCCGCTTACCTTATTCCTCACTCAGTGTTCAGAAATAAAGGGCGCTAATCCAAAGGATGAAAGAGTCCAAACGTGCCTTTAATTGGTCACAATTTGATTTTAAAAAACACAGCCAGCGCATTTCGCGTGAAACAACACTCCCCCCCATTATTAAGGCTTAACATGGGATAAGGATTTGACTGGACTCAAAAGATACTATATCCAAATGGGTCTCTATATGATTTGATGAAAATACCTTTTTTAGGGCTGCTTCTGCTAATTACAATTTGTTCCTTGCTCTCTCTTCTTGTGCAGGATGACTGGTCTTATATCTGCCCCCCTCCTGCAGTTTTCTGCAGGCAGCATGTGCAGTTATCCAGTGTAAAACCATTCCCTCTGTGCAAGAACTTCCTGTATTCAAGACCAGTCACTGCTGGTCTCTCTCCTTGTGCATGGTGACTGGTCCTGTATCCGCCCCCTGCAGCCTGTAGTAGGTGAGCCCGTTAGGGCCCTCCCATAGCTCTGCTCTCTGCACAGGCTAGTGCAGCAAAGTGATAATGTCACTGCTACTTTTAATATCTGTGTTTGCAACAATGTTTGGTGCACACAAAGTAGATTGATATCCTTATATATTTAAATAGTTTTTTTGTGCCTGGAGATTTACTGGAGTTCAAGTTAGTGGTTGAGAATTATTTTTCAGCATTATGTTGTCAGGTATTAGGTTGCAGATAAAATTAGTATCAAGGTTATGGTTCATATTTAGGGTGGGGGGTTACAGTTAATTGATAGGCTTAGTTTTGGTGTTCAGGTTAATATGTAAGAGCCAGGGACCTGCAGTGAGGCCAGTGGCAGGTGAGGCATGCCCTGGCCCGGAGGGGAGGGGACAGGGAGGAGCCTCCCTGTTCCCGACTTGCTCATCACTGATGAGGCATCTAGATGCATGCTGTCGGTGTTTTCTTTTCATTTTTTTGGTTGAACGGCTTGGATCAGTGGTGCTTTGCCATTGGTCCAAACCATCCACAGAGCTTAAGCCTCTGACTCCAAGTCAGAGGCTTGCTTTAGCTTTGACCTCACTGTATTAGGTTCCACACAGTAGTGTGGAAGCCCATCCATGACAGGTTACACAGCGGGGAAGCATTCCCCGCTGTGTAACCAGCTAGAAGCTGGTCTGAATGGAGAAAAAGCTATCAGCTTGAAGCTGACAGCTTTTTCTTCCATAATGGTGTGTGAGTGAGAATCTTCTTCACCTACCACCCCAGACAACGTGTCCCTGGTAAGAACTAATTTTCAGGACTAGGTTAAATTTTAGGGTACGGGTTGGGTAGGGTGTTCTATAAGAGGGTCAATTTAAGTGTGAGGGATAGGTGATAGATCATGGGGGATTATTTCCACACTTTAATTTAAACTAATTTTTGACACTGAAAACATCACTGCATGCACCATAAGTCAAAGTACTGCTCAAGTGTTACCACAATTTAATGAAGCATGGGTTATACACTACATACAGTATATGTACATGATATAGAAAATCTGTTTAAATGAGTTTGCATTTTCCTTTTCTGTTTTTCGTAGTTTAGTTACACTACATTTTCCCTTTAAGATGACTGCAGTGCTTTTCCAGCATTAATGCTTGTAAATCACTGGTCTGTCTGTTTTTAGCCAGATGGTGCGATCCAGTAAAGCTTAGAAATTTGCTGAACAGTAGCTCAGCATTTTAATGCACTTGAGTGCTAGGGTGTTACACACATGGAAATATAGTCTTTTCATATTAACATACCCATAAAGCAAAGTTCAAGCTGTCATTAAGGAAGATTTCCCATCTGATCTGTTTGATTGCGTCAATTCTTTAAAGTTAAAAGTGCAGACAATGACGATGGGACGTTTTGCAGAGTAACATGTGAACCACTCAAATCGTTTAATCTCTGCTTGAATTAAGGCAGTTAGCGTTTATTTTAAGAAACATTTAATCTCAAATAAATATAGTACAGTTTTAGCTATATAAATGCTTTAGTTCTTCATGTAAAACAGCAATTTGAAGTCATTTTCAAATTAGCAACATACTGTTCTGGCTGAGCTCGCCATGGGTTGTAATAGCTTTTTAAGAAGTCATTTTACATTTATTCAGAATTTTAAAAAAATACATTCCAGCTGGATTTCTCTGGCTTTTTTTCAGGGCAGAATTGCAGCCTCTTGTCATATGACTGCATGACGTACAACCTCCCTCACATGCATTGTTGTGAGTGTGCATTTGGCCTTTAGAGGCCTCAGAGAGAAGTGGGGCTGGAACCAGGCAAGATACTGCCTTGCATTTTTATTGGCTTAGATTCAGGATGTGAAGCAAGCAAGTCCACAGAGAGTAATAAAAACGAAACAGAGGGGCTACCCCTTCACTGTTCTAACCAAAAAAGCTCTAGCGATAGTTTGTCTTTCACTGAGACATGCTTTTAAAACCATACTTAGAGCCAATCTATACTTATGATGAGGATCCCAGTGGGCATGTTTAATGGCATGCTTCCAAGGATAGCTTATAAAATGATAGATCGAAAAGGAGCCATTATAGCTATAAACAAATCCAAGGACTGTTTCTAAAATATATTTTTCTACTTTTGTCAAATTATGTAAACAACAATACTGGATTGTGTAAGTAAAGTCAATGTTGAAAAATCAGGAATACATATGATTAGACACCTAATTAGGCACAGTATGCTCCAAACTTGCTCCCGTAATGGAATATAATTTGAATACAAATGAGTAAACTAAACGTGAGAGCTTGGAACCGTGGCTACTTTACAACACACAGGGACCATGGGGAACAAAAGTAGCCACCCTCCAGAAGGAAGGACAGTGTCTGCACCAATTCAAAGATGATTTGAGGATCTATAGCCGAGTGATACACAAATAAGATACATTTTTGTTAATATTTAAGGTACTTGAATGCATTTTTAAGATTTAACTGTCACTTTAAGAATATTAAGTTTGCATGATAATGAATCCAATATTGTCTTACGGTGTAAAGAGATAATAGGTAATAACTACATTCTGACCTGTTCACAAATAAATGAAAAGTTGTTTCAAAAGAAAATAAAACATATCTGAGAGTATGCGATCCAAATCAAAGTTCATAACATTATTGGTGTTACATTCCATATGCAATGTACGTTTTGCTTTATATGTCCATTGTGCAGTATTTCATAGATAAGAACATGGTTCATTAATCCACTGGTTTAAAGTCATTTCAGTATTTTTTTTCTCTGCTTTTGTAATATCAACACCCGCTGTCTTGGAGGTCTTAACCCCTTGTTTTAGCATGCATTAGCATTGCTGCTTTTTCATTGCCCTGCTACATGAAATCTCAGTAGACTTACATTGGCTGATTTATGGTAATTTCATCCATTACAGATGGTCTGACAGATTGTGTAGATCCTGATTGCTGCCAGCAAGCCAATTGCTTCTCCAGCCCTCTCTGTCAAGGTTCACCTGACCCATTAGACCTCATCCAGCAAAGCCAGCCACCCTTCTCCCAGCATCCTCCGAGACTCTTCTATGACAGAATTAGATTTCTTATTGGCAAGGACGGTACTCATGTCATTCCTGGAGAAATCAGTCTTGACAGCAGGTAGGTATGGCTTTACATGTATGACATCAGAGTTATCACAGACAAGTATGACAGCACATTATCGCATATTGACAAACATTTCTCTCCTCAGAGATGGCTTAATGGGGTAGCATACTTGTCCATGATTCTCTAGCGTATAAATTATTCAAAATAAACACAAACATTTAATGTGACTGAAATCTCCAGTGCAAAGAGAGCAGTACTTTTATCTCTTCGTACTGTTTTTGATTTCATATTCCATTCCTGAATCTTCTCTTTTAAAAAGTTTCATGCAAAATTTAAATATGAGCATTTTAAGTATTATATTTAATATAAATATGGCATATAGAGTACACATAAATTACATTTTTATTGCATCTTCTTATATGTATTGCTTCTTTCTGTATAGATGACATCCATTAATGAATGTGCCTTGTAAATATGTATCAAAAACTGAATTGCTATAAATGGTTGAGCAAATACAATTCAAGAAAGCCCCACAGTTTATTTAGCTTTGGGTTCTTTATGGATTTTGAAGGATGCTTAAAGATAATTTGTCAAAATGATAAAAAGAACTGCTGCTCTTGTTTTTTATTTGTTTTTGTTTTTTTTAAGATGACACGGTTTCTTGTGTTCATTTAACTTTACTGTGTTTAATCCAGTTTCACTGTCTAATTAATAATAATATAGAAATTAGCATTAGTCGTAGCAGTAGTCGTAGCAGACAGTACGAATTACACAGTGCTGTATATTAAAGCTGAAGTCCAAGCTGTAGAAAAATGTACCCTTGCAATGGGTCCCCCTCCACATTGCAAGGGTTAACTGCTAATTTTTTCTAGGGGATTAGATATATTTACCTTGCTCCACATTCCCACAGGCTTTCTCTGCACTGCATGACCAGCCCACCAAAGCCATTTCTCATTGCTGCCTTAGTAGTTGTCACTCTACAACTGCATCATATGCAATGCAGGACCAGTGGTCCTGCATTGTACTTAAGCATACTGAGGGTCTGCCCACATCCTGGGAGGGCTGGACAGTGGTCTGTTGCAAGGGTACCTTTGTCTCCAGCCCAGAGTTCAGCTTTAAGTTATGTGGTTAAATTATACGGTCTGTGAATAACAAACTACTAGGGAATTAAAACAAGACTTTGATACTGAAAGAAAACAAGGCCAGTGCCCAAGTGAACTTAGAGGAGAGAAACACATTAGAAATAACAAATACATTTTGGAAAATAAGGGGAAGTGGTTACTTGGTAAAGAATGATTAGAGTAGGTGAGGAAAGTCTAATAAAATAGGGAAGATAATTCTAATGGTCCCTTCAAACTATAGCGTTGCACAGGTTACCATGGTGTTCAGTGCATACTGTCACACAGTGCACCTAGCTAGCTTCATGCACTACTTTTTTCACCCACCACAACACGCGGTGCTGCACTACACTGCACGACCACGGGCCACCACAGTGGTTGCGGTGCAATTCAGATGAATAGGCATGCATGGAATCTAGCACATGGTGCCACAAGCTAGGTGGGATAGCATGCAATAAACTCACAGTAATGTTTGCTTAGCGCAACACTATAGTATAAATGGGTCCTACAGGATGGGAGCTAGTCTACAGAAATCTTTGAGTAGTCCATGGGATAAGCTTATCAGTTAGTAAGACACATGTAGGTTAAGAGCAGAGAGTGTACAGTATTTTGGAGAATTTTAGAAATATTTACATGGAGGCAGGGGGTAAGATATTGTAGGATATATAAGACACACATGTTCATGATAGATTGTGGAGGTACAATACATGTTAGGGAAATGTTTATTAGAAAAATATTCCAGTTGTAAAGTTTTTGTCAGCTTGGGAGCTGGGAGTTTGGTGGTCTATTTGAGTTAGGAAGGGGCATATTTTTGAGATGTTTCATAGGCAGAACTTGCAGAATTTAAATATCTTCTGAAAGTTAAGTATAACGGAGAGAGCTAAATTAAAGGTGACTACAAGGCAGCTTATCCTAGGATGTTATTAGCCACTTTTGTTTCAACACAGTTTCATTATTAACACGAGATTCAGGAAATTAAGAAGCTTGATAGACAGAAACTATGGGAGATTTATGTTTGTGAGTGAGAAGGCTGGCTAGGGAAAGTTGGAAGTGGCAGGGTTGATAGAGGCATAAGAGAATTGCAATCATCTTCAAGGAGAGCCTGGCTTATGTGTGATATTACCAGAGAGAGAAGAGAAAAGAAGCAAAGGAGAATGGATAAAGATAGCTGGTGGTTGCAACATAAAATAAGTGTGAAGAGAAGAGAGTGTAGGAGATGACCAGGGGTAGAGTAAAAAAAAAGGGCAGAGCGGAAGTGGGTGCCTGGGGCTCCAGATTCCAAGTTCCGACATTCAGTGCTCTTTAAAGTAAGTTTAAGGACAAGTTCATAAATGATATAACATGACCCAGGCCCCTTTCCTACCCCTTTAAATACACTAAACTGAGCCATCCCAATGGCAGGTGTTTGCTTAACTTCTTCGATGATGACTACCTCTGGTGTTGCCTACAGCCCTGCCAGTAAAAAATATATAATTCTGAGCTGCCTGTGTCTGTGGACTAACATCCCATAGACTTGAATGGATTGTAACCATACTGCAGGAACAATGTCCTAATCACGTCTATGGGAAGTTAGTGTGCAGGTGAGGGCAAGTTAACAATCTAGGCCACAATAGGTGATTTGGAAAATGTCTCCAATTCAGCTCACTTTCCAGTTCAGCTATGTTGTCCTAGATTGTTCTCTTCTCCTGCCTTCTTTAAACTCTTCACCCTTTAGTTAATAGTCCTGTAAATGTCCACCACCTTAGCTATAGATAATGCAGATGGTTGCTGCCAAAGAGGTAAGTATGCACCTGCAGAGGTAATGGATAATTTGAGTGTATTTAGGGAGCTGGGGGAGGGAAACGTGTCCTCTATATGCAACATTACATGTTTTTAAGCATTTCTTCAGATGATGAACAACAATGGCAGATTTTCAGATGATTATATACAAAATGTATGTGCATTGTCTATGCCTGGAAGCAATGTTTCCATATTATCAGTGACCATTTTATGAGTGCAAGATGCAATGAATGTACCACTGCAGTAGATCTAATTCAAAATCAAAACGCTGCCCTCCAAATCCTGCAGTTATGTTTTATAAGCCCACGTCAGAAGCAGAGCACAAATGTCTGTGTACACTGATCCCTATGGAGACTCATGAATTGAAAACAGCCCGTGCCCAAGGTAAAGTGAGTTCACTTTGCTTGAGTTACTTTATTTGTTAACTTGACTTATATGGCTTTCAGGGGCATTGGTATTATCTTCGTCCTGTGTGTGTTGGTTTTAAACTCTTTGTGACACATCTCTGCTAGGCTTGAGTTACTGTGTAAAGAGTGAAAATTAGATAGGAAATGTAACTGCAAAGACTGCCTAAAATAAAGATTATTTATGCTTTAAAGTAAAGCAGTTTTAGGGTCCATTCACACATTAGTGGTAAACCTAAAAAATAATGCAGTCCAATGTGCATTGTTCAGACCATAGCAACGTCTGCGTGGTACAAAACCGTGCGTCCAGCAAAATAGTCCAAGCACAATTTTTGGACGGATTCCGTGCGTTTGCGGCTATAATAGCCACAATCGCGCGGAATCCACACATATGTAAAAAGTTGCACTTTTTGTGTGCGGAAAACCACACGGAATATGCAAACGCCATATGTGAATGCAGCCTTAATAATATGGGTGGACCGTGGAACTGAGCAACTTAGATACACTTTCAAGTTGAAACAAGTATGTGCATTTGAAACTCTAATTCAGTCTTTCAGTGGGACTTCTAATTGAGAAAATTGAGGAGTTTGAAGATTGACATACCATAATACTTGTAGTCTCCTTTATCAATGGAGAGTCAGCAAGGAAGCCAGTTTTGCAAGCCCCTAGTGGATTCTGGGATGGAACATGGAGAACTTACTCTTCAGAGAAAGGGCAGAAAGTTCAGCTGACAGCACTGCTTTGGGCATTAGTAGGACAGGGAATAAGGGGAACAGATAGCAATAAACTGACAGAGAATCTAACCCACTCTTTTCAGAACTGAAAGGTCCACTTTATGAAATCAAGAATTCATTGTCTTTAAAGAATAAGTATTGGGAGAGTAAAATATATTCTTCCCAATGCTTACAGTAGGCGTGAGACACTGTGGCTGTCACATGTTGTGTCTATATATTGAGAGCTGAGTGATCACGTGACCACTGATTGCTCAGCTCACGGTGTCCTCCCTTCAGAGAGCGATGACTGTCAGTCACTACTCCCCACAGGGATCCCCCTCTCTGTTCCTCCAGCACTCATTGGAGGGACAGACAGCAGAGAAGGTGGGCATTGCTCTAGAGAAGCAGAGCCAGCTGTCAATCAGGTAGCCAGGTTGATCCCGACAATATTGCTGCCCTTGGGTCACAGGAGTAACATTACTAAATGTTAGCTATATGCTGACTTTGGGTCACATGAGTACATTAGTAAATTTACTGTGACCCAGAAGAGAAGTAAAGCCAAAAAATGGTTTGGCTTTACTTCTCTTTTAATGCCATAATTTATTAATTAGCATTTCTACTCATCATATACTTATTTATCTTTAAATGGAAGCAGCAGTTTTTTGTTAAAAGACGTATGATGTTCTAATAGTAAACATTTACTAGTCCCATTAAACTCTAGTAAAAACTAGAATTATTTATAGATAATGTTTCACTGAAATGAAACTGTCAGTCTGTGGGTGGTTTTATGTCAGATTCTTAGGAAACTAAACTGATTATCTCTCAATGGATGAAGTGAGAGGATCGTGTGCACGTCAGTAGACATACAATATGTTTTATTTATCAACCAGGCCCAAATCCCAATTTTATACAGTGGTGTGTGCAGCATACATACTGTATAGCAGTAAATGATTCATCTATTCCATTTCATTTACAATTATAATTTAAGTCAGAGCTGTGTGCATTGTTTCATTCAGTGCCTATGTCTTTTACAGGAATAC